CAAATATAAATATAGAGATATAGTGCAAATAAGTGAAGTTATGGTGCTTTTATTTACTAACAGCAACACACATGTTTACAGTCATGTGCACTTAAGGACTATGGTTTTATTTTAAATTTAACAACATTTTTGTTTGTTATTTCACAATAATGGGTCAAATATGCAAATTTAAGTTTTCTGAAGGGATCTGACGACCTGCCAGGGGGTCCCGACTCCGACCTTAAGAACCCCTGGACTAAATATGGAGCAAGAGGAGTGCACAAAAATGTGGAATAACTTAAAACACACTTTATAGATGGACTCTGTTGTTTCTATTGGACCACAGTGTGTGAGTGTTAAAGGAAATCATCCCGTCTTTGTTGTTTGTTTCTCTACATCTTTATAAATGAGGGAAACCTCACTAAGTCTGACAGTCTAAACAGTCTGTTATAAACAGACTGTTATAAACAGACTGTTATAAACAGACTGTTTATAACAGTCTGTTTATAACAGTCTGTTATAACAGACTCTGTTTATAACAGACTGTTTATAACAGAGTCTGTTTATAACAGTCTAAACAGTCTGTTTATAAACAGACTGTTATAAACAGACTCTGTTATAACAGACTCTGTTATAAACAGTCTAAACAGTCTGTTTATAAACAGACTGTTATAAACAGACTGTTTATAACAGTCTGTTTATAACAGTCTGTTTATAAACAGACTGTTATAAACAGACTCTGTTATAACAGACTCTGTGTTTCCCTCATTTATAAAGATGTAGACTGTTTATCCTCTGCTTACAAACAAACACATCCACTTCACTAGACAGATAGAATCACTTCTTTATATTAAATGTGATTATTATTGAATAATTAACTGATAAATCATCTCATATGTTGTACTCTTACTTCAGTTAAAGTCTGAAACAGTGTTTCTAACGGTCTCTCAGTATTTCCACTGAAGGGTTTTCATGATTACAGATTTTGATTTGATTCCATTAAAAATAAAAAAAACGAAAACAAAACAAAACAGAAATCTGAGACACCTGAATATGTAATAATTTGTGTTAGCTCACCTGTTAGCTCAGCTGTTAGCCTCTGTGTTAGCTCTCAGCGGTTATATTCAGACTTTAAAGCTTTTTGTTTCTTCTCTGTTGTTTTCTTCGAGCTGCCGAGCGCCAACTGCACCCGAAAGCTGTCGCACACACGTGACGTCATCAAGCCCCAGCGACGGCCTCACCCGATGACGTTGGATTTTTTTAAATAAAATAATAATTTAAAGACTTTTCCAGTAACATTTACGATATTTTAAATAAGAAAGTAAAGGTAAAATATTTATAGATGTATATTTTGAAAAGTTAAGCTAATTTAAAAAAAAAAAAAAAATGTAAAAGCCTCGCTAGTCATAGACATGATTTATTTATTATTACAGGCTAACAAGACTCCATTATTAATAAAGAGACCAAAGACCAAGAGTAGACACTTAATAATAATAATAATAATAATAATAACGAAATTAACCATCCTGATGTTTCTTCCAGGCTTTAGAGACAAACGTGGTTGAATTCTAAACATTGAAAGAAACCACTCTCATTTTATTACTATAACCTTAAAAATGTAAAATATATATTTATTGTATGAAGTGCTTTTTGTTCTTTTTGTTAGAGTCTTTAAGGACTTGACAAGATATAGACACAAATATTTGTATTCTTGGGGAGCAGGTAGCCTAGTGATTACTGCGTGCGCCCCATGTATGGGGGCTGTAGTCCTCCAAGCTGGACGCCTGGGCTCAAATCCAGCCTGTGGCTCCTTCCCTCATGTCATCCCAACTCTCTGTCCCTATATCTGACTTATCCACTGTCCTATCTCTCCTATAAAGGCAATACATTTTTTTTTTTTTAAAACCCTTGCTCAAGGACACAGCGTACATGTGGCTGCAGGAGCTGGGGATCGAACCCCTGACGTTCCTGTTCTCCCACTGAACACACCGGACAAAGGTTCAGAGGGACTGAAACATTGTGATGAAAACAAACAAGAGTTTAAAATGTTTAATAAAACAGCTTCAGTTTTTAATGAAACATCGGTTTGAATACAAAGATGACACAAACAGTCGGTATAAAACAATAACATGTTCAAATAACATAAAATATTAAAACATCAATGATACAAAAAGAAAAGAAAAAACAGGACAAACTTCAGGATAAAAAAATGTAAGTGCATTAAAAAGAGAAGTTATGAAAGTTGTAGCTGCTCGTAGAGTTTTTATTTTGTCATCTGAACGACGGACACATGTTCAGTTTAACAAACGAAAACACACAAAATGTAGATTTAAACCTGAAATGAAGCATTCAAAGTGAAACAATACTCATTTGTTGCTCAGACTTTTCACTTTCTTGTTTCTTCGTGTTGTTCTTTAGACTCAATTATTGTGTTTCACAAATTTATATTTGATCCAAAACGCCATGATGTCTCTAAAATATAAAACATGTCTATGTATCAAAACATCTTCAATACCACAGTTTTTTTTGTAAGTGTAGTGTTTAACAGTAAGTATAAATATCAACAGTAACAAGAGGGGTTGTGGGTAATGTAGTGTGTAATAAACAGTATAAAACAGAACTAAAGGACGAGTATGTGGTGCTCACGACGGCGTAGCTTCAACACTGAAGTATAAACGAGGATGAGCTCTGAGATGAGGCGTCCTTCAATGTTCCTCCTCCATTTCCCACAATGCACTCGGTCGGTTTGAGCTCTCAGAGTGAAATATTTAGACGTATGTTTAAAATAGAAATATTCCTTAATCCATCCAAAGAACTTTACACGTCTCTCTACCTGTCTGTCTACCTGTCTGTCTGTCTACCTGTCTGACTACCTGTCTGTCTACCTGTTTGTCTACCTGTCTGACTACCTGTCTGTCTACCTGTTTGTGTACCTGTCTGTCTACCTGTCTGTCTACCTGTCTGTCTACCTGTCCTTGGCAGAGCGCAGGTCGGTTGTGATCGGGTCGTGTTGGATGGTCTGGTGCAGCATCAGAGCCAATAAACCGGCTCGATTCGTCATCGCCGTCCTCAGATTCCTCTCCTGCTCAAACAGCTCGTCCAGCTTATACCACTGAGAGAGAGAGACAGACAGGCAGAGAGACAGACAGGCAGAGAGACAGACAGACAGACAGACAGACAGACAGACAGACAGACAGACAGACAGACGTTAATGAAGTTTGGTGTAAATATGTGGTCTCTGTTGAATATTTCTTTTTAACCATTTGAGGTTTTTTTTTATCTCAGATTAAATCTTTTGTGTTTCTTTACCACTCGGACTCTCTCGAGGTCGACCTCGGCGCGGCGGAGTTTCTCCCAGCAGTAATGTTTGTTACACTTCCTCTTTGAGACGCGACAGAACTCTCCGGTCGGCTCGAACACATCTTTGACCAGAGGACAGCCACACACCTCGTCTGCAGGGACCTACAGACAGACAGGCAGGGAGACAGGCAGACATTGTAAATGTATGTTTAAAAGTTGAACTCTGAACTATGTCTTTTGTCATGAGCAGCAGGTAAGCTAACAGTGACATCATCAGACGATCTGTTTGTAATGAACACAGACGAACCTTTGGGTCTCTGGAGTGTTCAGGACACAGAACCTGCAGCCGCTTACAGTACGTCTTACTCTGAGGGTTATACACATCACAGAAGAGACGGGTTGCCCTGAAACACAGACAGACAGGCAGACAGGCAGACAGTCAGGGAGAGAGAGACAGACAGGTCTCAGTGTCTGACTCTTTCCACACTGCTCAACAGACAGAGATAGAGACAGACTGACACAAACACAGACAGCAAACAGACAGACAGACAGAAACACAGAAATAAAACCAGACAGACAGACAGGTGTCTTACCCCTCTATACGTGTCGGGTACATGGAGCCAAACGATGTCTGACTCTCATACTGTTGATCAGGCAGACAGAGGGAGACAGACAGGCAGAGAGAGGTGTTTAAATGGCGTCATTTATGTAAAAACACAAGTGGAGTTCCACAGGGCTGCGTCCTTGATCCTCTTCTTTTCTGCCCCTAACATTCACTGACTGACCGAATACTGAAATGAATCAAACTGAATTAAATGTACAATGAACAAAAGGAAATTATTACCTTCAACCAACCATGCTAAAGAGAAATGTCAGACTTTTACATTCAAACACGTCTTTGTGGTTTAATTCAGCAGCTTTCAGGTGTTTCTGAATGTTCCTGATGTCCTGACCGTGTACACTGACCTTGGCGTAGCATCTCTCCATGTGTCTCAGCGCCACCTTTGGGTTAACGGGGTGACTGCAGGAGACACAGAAGATCTGAAGATCTGTGTCATCACCTTCACCTTCGGTCACCTGGACAGAGAGACAGGTCAGAGAGAGAGACAGACAGGTGAATCACACTGAGAGCTGTCTGCCTCTACCTGAGGTTGTCAAAATACTCAATAACAAAGTTAAAACTAAAAATTTTTTTTTTAAATTAAAGTTAAAATGTCTGCTGGGTTAAAAACCCTGCTCGTACCTCCTCGTCTTGTTGGACCTGTTGCTGTTTGGCGTTGGCGATGATGCCTTCGAGCTCATGGAAACGTTTCTCCATCAGCGTGAGGCGGAGTCTCGACGCCTGCTGCTCCTTCCTGATTCGCTCCAGCTGTCTCCGCCCCATCTCCTCAGCAACGCACGGACTCTGCTGCCACTGCTGGATCCTCTGAGGGAGGATCTCGTAGATGCGACTGAGAGAGAGACAGATGGAGAGAGAAACAGGAAGTCAGGTAGAGGCAGCCATGTAACCCCAGATCAAAAAAACAGTCCGCTGTTACTTCTGTGGCAAACTGTAGAAGACATGTTTTTGACTTACTGGGTATTTACTTACTATGTGTACTGTTTTGGTTGACTTGTTGCACACTTGTTGAGTTGTGTACTTGTTGACATGTGTGCTTGTAGACTTGATGTGTTCTGGTGTACTTGTGTTCTTGTTGACTTGTTTTGTTCTTGTTGAGTTGTGTACTTGTTGACACGATGTGTACTTGTTGACACGATGTGTTTTTGTTGACTTGTTGCGTACTTGTTGACATTATGTGTTCTTGATGACCTGTTGTGTACTTGTTGACTTGTGTACTTGTTGACATGATGTGTTCTTGATGACCTGTTGTGTACTTGTTGACTTGTGTACTTGTTGACATGATGTGTTCTTGATGACCTGTTGTGTACTTGTTGACATTATGTGTTCTTGATGACCTGTTGTGTACTTGCTGACTTGTGTACTTGATGACCTGTTGTGTACTTGTTGACATGATGTGTTCTTGATGACCTGTTGTGTACTTGTTGACTTGTGTACTTGATGACCTGTTGTATACTTGTTGACTTGTGTACTTGATGACCTGTTGTGTACTTGTTGACATGATGTGTTCTTGATGACCTGTTGTGTACTTGTTGACTTGTGTACTTGATGACCTGTTGTGTACTTGTTGACTTGTGTACTTGATGACCTGTTGTGTACTTGTTGACTTGTGTACTTGTGTACTTGATGACCTGTTGTGTACTTGTTGACATGATGTGTTCTTGATGACCTGTTGTGTAATTGTTGACTTGTGTACTTGATGACTTGTTGTGTACTTGTTGACATGTGTATTTGATGACTTGTTGTGTACTTGTTGACTTGTGTACTTGTTGACTTGATGTGTTCCTGATGACCTGTTGTGTACTTGTTGACATGTGTTCTTGATGGCCTGTTGTGTACTTGTTGACTTGTGTACTTGATGACCTGTTGTGTACTTGTTGACTTGTGTACTTGATGACCTGTTGTGTACTTGTTGACTTGTGTACTTGATGACCTGTTGTGTACTTGTTGACTTGTGTACTTGATGACCTGTTGTGTACTTGTTGACTTGTGTACTTGTGTACTTGTTGACTTGTTGACTTGATGCGTTCTTGATGACTTGTTTTGTACTTGTTGATTTGTGTACTTGACTCACTTGGCGGCGAGCTTCATGCCACAGTCCTCGGAGCAGTATTTGGAGTTGGCCCTTGCCGGTTGGACGCATCCCGGTCCCAGACATTGCCTCAATGCTCCGCCCACATCCTTTGCCCCGCCCTCCCCTCCTCGCTCGCTGTGCCGCACGCGCTCCTTATGACGTTGCTTTGCCTTGTGGCGGCGAGGCTTCACCTCTTCTTTGGGAGCAGGGGCAGACTTCTGCGACAGAGCACAGGTCTATCAGTGACATCATCAGTGACATCATCAGTGACATCATCAGTGACATCATCAGCTGTAAGGTTAAAGCATCCTCACCTTCTTCTCAGGCTTCTTCTCTCGTCTCTTGACGTGTTTCACTTTCACCGCCTTCTTCCTCAGAGAGTCCGACTGAGTGTCCTCCTCCTCCTCCTCCTCCTCCTCCTCCTCATCGCTGCGCCACATCTGCAACAGGAAGACGCATCACACCACAGGACGTGACATCACCCCATATAGGAAGTCCCTATTCTGACAGCTGATTGGTCATAACCCCTCCCACACACTGACCAGGTCTCTGTATCCAGCAGCTTTGTACTGCTCATACAGCTCCAGCTCGCTCTCGCTGAACACGCCATCTTCCTCCTCCTCGTCCTCTTCCTCCTCTGTTTGGTGCCCCGGCCCTTTCCTGGAGAGGGCACGCCCCCTGCTGCTGCTACGGGCAATCTCCTCGCCTTTGACACGCAGCATCTTCTGCTCAGATATCAACAACATCAGTGACAGTCATCAATTTTACTGAGATATCAATAGCCGACAAAGACGTTGTGAGAAGCCGACCTCTGTGAGCCGTAAACCGTCATGTGATAAATATCTGTTACAGTTCGATGAGGACTCACCCGCGCTCGGACCTCACACTGTCTGAGCCGACACTTCTGTCTGATTTTGTTCGGACCGCCGAACTTCTTCATGTCTTTGCAGAAGTCGCACTGAGCGCAGTCCTCCGTCCTCAGACAGGCATCACACTCGCCACACATCCGGGCTGAGCGCTTTATCTGACACAGGGACGACAGGAAGGACATCTCACTGAGTGTACAAAATATTTAACAAAACATCAACAGCGTCAAATGTCCTGAAATTAAAAAAGAATGACACTGACATATTATATTAAATATCACACAAAATCCTCCCTTTACACTCTGTTAGCCCCGCCTCCTGTCAGTCTAGGTGTTGGTTTACCTGTGAGCCCCGCCTCCTGTCAGTCCTTGGCTGGGGGGTGGAGCTCCCGTCTCCGTCATGTTTGTCCTCCCTCTCAGCCTCCGACTCTTTCTCTTTCTCTTCCTTCTCCTTCGTCTTCTTTGGACGATATTTAATCTCCAAGGATGGGTCAAATTCTGCACGCACACAGCACATGCTAACACTTAGCAAAAATTCTGGTATCATGGCAAGCCCGTCAGAAACTCCTTGTAGACGTGTGTGAAAACATTTGATAAAAACCTGTTTTTTCGAACACTAAACTTAAATGTTTTTAAAATTTGAGTTATTTCTGCGGCTCACAGAATTTTTTATCAAACAAACTAGAAGAAATTGTAAATTTTTAGAGCACTATTTTCAGTGGTGGAGGAATCTGGATTGTGTAAACTGTGAGATCTAAATAAAGTGAAATGACTGTTGAGGCTTCAGGTGTGAACACTGAACTGACCTCTGCAGGATGGACAGTACCACACTTTGATCGATTTCGACGCTCGCTCTGACACTCCGATACAGTCTCCATGAAACCACTCGGTGCAGCTGTCGCACCCTCTGACAGACAGACAGGCAGGTAGAGAGAGAGAGAGAGAGAGAGAGGGAGAGAGAGAGAGACAGAGAGAGAGAGAGAGAGTGAGAGAGAGAGAGGGAGAGAGAGAGAGAGAGAGGCAGAGAGAGAGAGAGAGAGAGAGAGAGAGGGAGGGAGGGAGAGAGACAGAGAGAGAGACAGAGAGAGCGACAGAGAGAGAGAGAGAGAGACAGAGAGAGCGACAGAGAGAGAGAGAGAGAGAGAGAGACAGAGAGAGAGAGAGAGAGAGA